GGGGGGGCATTTTTTTTGGCGTTTGTCCAACCCCCATAAACAGACGAGTAGCGCAGCGTTCGGCCGGGTGCCGTACAGGATCACTGACCGGACGCCTAGAGAACAATGCTTTGCCGATGCCGTTGAATTTTTTTGACATTTTTTTGGATTTTTCTTGAAGCTCGAATGACTCGTTGAAGTTTCGGTTTTAGAGAGATAGAGTAGAGAGATTTAGGTTAAAGGTATTTTCGTAAAAGGGGGGCAATAAATAGTAATAGGGGGCGGTAAATAGCGATTCACTAAAAAAAACTAGCTAATACTAAAAGAAAAGCCTAACCTGCGACCTATGAGCCACTCCACAGCAACACCAACAAAACACACAAGCAATTAAAAAAAAATAGCTAATACTAGAATAAAACCCTCCCCTACGACCTACGAGCCACTCCACAGCAACATCAACGATTCACATTTCAAGAATAGCCTTTGCAACGCAAAGAACGATTCACATTTTCTGGGATATGGAAAGATGATGCATGGATAAATTAACTAGGCAATCATTAATTGCTATGAACCATGCAATGTCGAATACAACACACTTCCTGCGCAAGCGGGCTCTTAACCAGGCGGCACCTGAGCATCAAAAAATACTGTAGCCTAAGAAAGTTAATCGCTAAGAATATTTTACAAAATTAGCTGTGCTGCCTTATATTGTCTAAGTATACATTGACTTGAATCCCTCAGTTAGTCCAACCACCTTAGCAGACACCTTAGACTGTAATTTTGCTACAGCTTGCCGAATGTCCTACAATTACCAAAAATGTCAGGAAAAGAGGGAGATCACAAAAAATAAAAAAGTAAAAACAAAAATATATTATTTGCTTATTTGTCAGTTAAATAAATTTTGAGAATGCTTAACGAACATAAACACATTTGACATGTTCATGTGAATTTAATCACATCTTGTGAAATCAATTTCCAGGAAGCGTTTCTTTACCCATATGAGTTCTCTTTAACTTGATGTCAGTTTTGTTTTTTACATCCTTTTAGAACATGATATACTGAACTTGTACAAGAGCACGAGTAAGTCAAGCTTCATCTAAAGAAAGAAAGACAAAAACTGAAAACACAATACCAAGCAATTTTTCATTGAGGTGATTTACCTCGAGACGGTAACGAGATGAGAAATGAGTCAACATTACAGTATTGTTCCGAATCCATTGTGCGTGCTCCAAGATCTGCAACCCAACAATAAAAACTCAAGACTTGAAACAGCCAAAATCTATGAGAATAGATGGCATTTCCTGTAATGGAACTCAAATAGAGCATACAAATATTTTTTGAACAATATTAAGACAATATTGAATACCTCGGATAGATGGGTATGCCCGTGTTCTCGTGCGTGCTCGACACTGACATTTTCATCTAAAAATGTTGCCTGCCCGCAGAAGGGAACCTCTAGTATTAGTGGTCACAACCCAGTTTTCTTAACTAGGTCAGGAAGTTTTATGCATATGAAGCTGTTCATAAGTACTTGACTGAATGAATTACATTATACATTCATTATTCACCTTGAAAAGTATTTCAACATCAACCAAAAAGGTCACAAACGGTAGGCATGCAACCGGTGGAAAAATGAAAGCACACAATCAAGAACAAACATTTCTTGTGAAGCCAAATAAATTAGATGTTAACACAATGAGATCACTGCACTTGCATGCCTACTGGAAATGTCACATGGGGTTCAAATTTTGAATTTTATTTTTTCCAAAGTGCTACTCCTAGAAAGATGATTGTGATTTTGATGCATTTATCATACATCAACGGTAATTGATAATGCAATTCACCATTCAGAGTTCAGAAAAAATAAAAATAAAAATAACGATTTCTCAGCAAGGAACTACATTCACATTTAACCTCCTGTGGAAACAACGGAAGCCTCAACAATAATTTATACAAGTGCTGAGTAAGATAATTTACCTCAGTTATGAGAATTTTGGCGCGCAAGGCATCCGCACTGTGTGGATCAAGGAAAAAATCTGACGTTGTGTCTCCGGTGAAGGCCACCTCAGGACATAATATGGTATCAGTTATCTGAGAAAATGAATAAGTGAAAAAAATAAAGTGTTTATTTAAGCTTCAATCGATGGCGTGATAAGAGAAATAAGCCGATGATAATTACAACAAAATAACCTCAACTCCAGACTTTTTAAGTTTCTCGATTTGTTTTCCTTTTAAATGCATGTATTGCTTTCTCAGTTTCTTTCTGACAGAGTAAATGACATAACCCTGCAAACAAAGAAAATGAACCTATCATGTATAACAACCTTTCTGGCCATATATGGTAATTGCACTTGAAAAATCAAGAACAATAACCAATGCAGGTAACAAGTTCACTTTCAGATTTGCAGAATTCCATAATTAGAAGATTTCATGTAAGCACAAGGCACGTGCTTGACAGGCACAAATCTGACCGAGATAGACATAAAGTGTTTTCCATTATTTTCAAGTTTTAATAAATTAATGACAAATCTCTTACAATGTATGGATAAACCAAGGCGGTTTATAAATGAAGTATATAGCACTGTCAAACGGGCCAGTGGCCCGCGGGCTGGCCCGCCCGCCCGCCCGCTTAAACGGACGGGCGAAATGCGGGCTATTTTGGCCCGCCCCGTTTGGACCGCGGGCCAGCACGGGCCGGAGCGGGCCGGGCCCGACCGGCCCGTTTGACAGTGCTAGAAGTATATGAAATAGGAATAAAGCTGACAACTTTTTCTGGCATCATTGTTGGAAACAAGAATGAAATGAAATTCACTCTAGTGAATTCATATTTACAGGCTTCGCTTGCATAATTATTTGATGGTTTTCATAAAAATCGATGGCTAAATGAATCATCTCGGTGTTGGTGAAAGCATGCGACTGTTATCCAGACAAATAATTATAAAATCAGTTTAATCAACTTGTAAGAAAATAGAAATCCATGCAATATACCATTGCACTGTATTGCATAAAGCATAAAGACTTCTGAATGAGGCAGGTTGGTAGGAGGTTGCTGTACAAAGTTACATACTGGTATATAATTCTCAACCATATAATCACTAAAGCAGTGGATATTAAGCCTCTCACATTCATACCTGACTGGTTATAACATGGTGTGTTTTGAATGGCCGTACAACAAGATCATTCCTCATTTCATATGTTTCCCCTGAGTAATATGTTCACTAAACATTAAAATTTGACAGAACCACATTGGTCAATTAACCAACGGATAAGGAATAATGCATTTTACCTATATCAAGCGCTATTAAATCAAAGTTCAGCTCGACCTGACCCAAGGATTTATGAATATCAATTAGTCGCTCAACATCCTCCTTTATGCATGGAGGCACAAAGACAGTAGGAGGTTTTAAGCTGTAAAGACCACGAGAAGCTATGTACATCGGCAGTCCTCCCTAAATCAATACATAACAAACTCAATACATGTGCTATTTTCAGATATGCCAAGCATATCACATGAAAATTACATATGCAGAAATACATAGATATATATCCATATACACATGATTTTTGACATATAATAAATAAAAAATATTTAAGAGACCTCTACAAGTACGACATTATAAGGAGATCTTCAACGCAAAACGATGATTATGACCAGAGTTCTCTAGTGGCAAAAAGTAAAATGGAGTTCATATTTAGTGACATCGAGTGCCCACTGCCCAGATTCACATGTATCTCAACAAGATAACACGAAATATAATCTGCGCTCATACATCAAAAGCACAGCGTCCACTAAGAATAATTGCAGCATACTATTTGACAAAAGGGAAATTTGAAATGAAAACAAATCCTTAATTCATCATTAACTTCTGGGGAAAAAGGGGGGGCAGTGGCACCACCACACAGTGGTGAAAAATGCTCAAACTAGACTTTCTACTACTAATCAGCCTCTATACATCAAAACACAAATATCACCTACTCGTACACCCTACCAAGCATAAATATTTGTATAACCCCCACATGAAACTCATAAATTAAGCCATAGAGACCTTGTTCCACATTCAGCCCCCTACAGAAATACAGCAGCATAACAAGGCACAAACATCAGTCACTGATTTGTTACTCTCTTTTTCATTTATGTTCGCTCGCTACTTACACAAAACGAACAGAAGCCCCAACTCATACACCGTGGCCGTACCACTGACACACGAAAAAACAGAGAAACCATATTTTTTTCCAAAACACGAGTTGAAAAACCCAACAACACTAAAATAAAATAAAAGATTTCATTTATCTTTCTTAATAAAAAAAAAAAGTAAAATTTTACAATATGATCAAGGTGAGCATGTGTGATGAACAAGAAATTCTGCTGGATAGCCCTCGAAGGGCACCTCCCAATATCAAAGGCGGACTTCAACTCGGGTACAATAACGCAAGTTTCATGGCCGCCGATCGACAGCCCTTCAATTGAGTACCCATCCAAATCGAACCCTTTCCGGTGGACCTCGGCCCGGGCCTTTCGGTACTCTTCTTCCTCTATGGCTCGCCCAATTGCCGACAGAAAGCCCGACCCAGCACTTCCTCCCATCCCATGGGCAGCCGCGCGAGTTTGGATTAGGCGATGAGCTTTCGGGGTGGGCAGAGACACCTGAAATCGGTGGAAACGGAGAACATTTGTAGGTGTGGGGTTTAATGATATCATTTGGTTTGGTTGTGTTGGGGTTTAAAGATAATAGATAGATAATGGAAAATAGTACGCTGTGGTGTGGATGGACTGATGGGAATTTACACACCGTCACTCACTGCCTCTCCATTCGCGCAAATGGTGCATCAACAAATGTACAAAAATGTATTCTGGTTTGGTTGGAAAATTAAAATTTTCTCTCTCTCCGTTTTCCCGAGCTCATACCATGTGCATAATTTTAAAGTTATTTATCCAGCCTTATAATTATATAAATAAATAAAAAATAATATACGGGATATATATAGTATGTGATCTGTGCGAGGTAAGAGATATATTTATTTGGAGATTATTATACTATAAGATGCAATATTTAATAAAAATTTTACAATACACGAAAATAAATATAAATAATGTAAATATCTAAATACATACACGATATGTATAATAAATAAGCCCAGTTGCAAATCTGAAAAATATAAGAGATATATTTATTTGGGGATTATTATACTATAAGATGTAATATTTAATAAAAATTTTACAATACACGAAAATAAATATAAATAATGTAAATATCTAAATACATACACGATATGTATAATAAATAAGCCCAGTTGCAAATCTGAAAATATAAGAGATATATTTATTTGGGGATTATTATACTATAAGATGTAATATTTAATAAAAATTTTACAATACACGAAAATAAATATAAATAATGTAAATATCTAAATACATACACGATATGTAGAATAAATAAGCCAAGTTGCAAGTCTGAAAATATAATTGTTGATAAACAGATTTGATCAACTATTTAAATGTAATATATCAGGGATTAAGACAGAATTAAAGTGGTTTTATCGATAAAATGGGAAATTCTTGTAAATAGTCAAAGTCGGTTTTTCTTCCTTGAGGTCGGGTTTTTTATCATACAAGTAATCGGTTTTTGAGTACAAGCCGAGGTGTTAAATACAGAATTAAATGTGTCGGAAAAGATCTTCGTATTGTGTTTAATTCTCCTATTTTTAGTAACCGTTGGCCCGTCTTTGGAGGAGATTCGGCGGCATTTAATGCTGAATGACTGCATAGGTGCAGCTTTTCCAGCCGGTGGGCCCCCTAGTAATGATGTCTTCACGTGGGTCGAGATGTCTGATTGACAGGCATTTAATGCAGCTGATGGCGGTTGGACGTCGACTCTTTACAGGTCGGAACCTGGTTGAGATCGGCCTATGACGAGGTTGGCACCTTCAACTCTGCGATTATTCCTCTTGCCTACTCGGCGCGCTCTTCATCCTTTTTAGCAGGCCACGTGTCGTTGATCCAACTTCCAAGATGATTTTGATATCAACATAGAGGCCCCTGGCATTAATTGACACATGGATTAATGGTGTTTCTTGATGCCACACTTCCTAATGACATCGTGCTCTCTAAGTTGGTTCCAGCCGACTCTGGTACTCAAGCGAAATTTCGGTAATTTGGGGGACGGATATGTTCTCATTCTGAAATGGCGCGTGGTCTCGCGAAATGACGTGCCTGTCGCTATCTACCTTAGGCGGTTACACCTTTTAGTGACATGTTCCCACGATCTCTGTACCCGTCGTGACGTGACGTATCCTTATTGGTCCGCGTGGTTTCACGGGAGTAGCACGAACCGTCCCTTTCTTTAATCGCGACGGTTTTTTACGTCGATTCGTCCCCAACGGTCACAAAGACTCTTATATAAATACTCTGCTTCCTTTTTTTCTCGGAGACATTCATTCATCTTGCTTTCTCAATATTTCGCTATATCTCCTTAACCTTCACCCCTCTGTTTTTTTATTCCCGACGTCCCGTGCTTTGACAATTCAATCGTTTTTCGGTGGTGAGTTCTTCTATCTATTTCTTTTTTTATTTCCAGAACTTTGCTTTTGCTTCCCAAGATTCTGTCGAGTCCGAAAATGGCGGAACAAGCGACGGCGAGCAGCAGCAGAACGCTCTCCGATGAGGTGGCCCGCGGGACTGCTACAGACGAAGAGGTCGACTTGGACTTATCGTTGGGATACTACCGTTGGGATCCGGTGTTGGCCGAGCGCTTAGTCTTGCAGAGGAACAACCATAACGGCGATGCCGAGGTTGAAAAGGACCTCCCCAATCGCGAGGGTTATTGGAATCGTCACATGTTTTCGGAACATCCCTTGGGGTGGGCAAGCGAGAAGAAAAAATTCTTTCATTTTCGGAACACCCCGACCAAGGGGTGGGCGAAGGTCGCTTGTTTTCGGAACATTCCAAGGGGTGGGCATGTGGTCGACAACTTTCACGCTTCCGGGCTGGACGACCACAATGTTTTCGGAACATCCCTTGGGGTGGGCAAGCGAGAAGAAAAAAGTTCTTCGTTTTCGGAACACCCCGATCAAGGGGTGGGCGAAGGTCGTTTGTTTTCGGAACATTCCAAAGGGTGGGCATGTGGTTGACAACGTCCACGCCTCCGGGCTGGACGACCACAATGATTTCGGAACATCCCTTGGGATGAGCAAGAGAGAAGAAAAAAGTCCTTCATTTTTGGAACACCCCGATCAAGGAGTGGGCGAAGGTCGCTTGTTTTCGGAACATTCCAAGGGGTGGGCTTGTGGTCGACAACGTCCACGCCTCCGGGCTGGACGACCATAATGTTCTCGGAACATCCTTTGGGGTGGGCAAGCGAGAAGAAAAAGTCCTTCGTTTTCGGAACACCCCGACCAAGGGGTGGGCGAAGGTCGCTTGTTTTTGGAACATTCTAAGATGTGGGCATGTGGTCGACAACATCCACACCTCCGGGCTGGACGACCACAATGTTTTCGGAACATCCCTTGGAATGGGCAAGCGAGAAGAAAAAAGTCCTTCGTTTTCAGAACACCCCGACCAAGGGGTGGGCGAAGGTCGCTTGTTTTCGAAACATTCTAAAGGGTGGGCATGTGGTCGACAACAACCACGCCTCCTGGCTGGACAACCACAATGTTTTCGGAACATCCCTTGGGGTGGGAAAGCGAGAAGAAAAAAGTCCTTCGTTTTCGAAACACCCCGACCAAAGGGTGGGCGAAGGTCACTTGTTTTCGGAACATTCCAAGGGGTGGGCATGTGGTCGACAATGTCCACGCCTCCGGGCTGGACGACCACAATGTTTTTGGAACATCCCTTGGGGTGGGCAAGCGAGAAGAAAAAAGTCCTTCGTTTTCGGAACACCCCGACAAAGGGGTGGGCGAAGGTCGCTTGTTTTCAGAACATTCCAACGGGTGGGCATGTGGTCGACAACGTCCATGCCTCCGGGCTGGACGACCACAATGTTTTCGGAACATCCCTTGGGGTGGGCAAGTGAGAAGAAAAAAGTCCTTCATTTTTGGAACACCCCGACCAAGGGGAGGGCGAAGGTCGCTTGTTTTCGGAACATTCCAAGGGATGGGCATGTGGTCGACAACGTCCACGCCTCCGGGCTGGACGACCATAATATTTTCGGAACATCCCTTGGGGTGGGCAAGCGAGAAGAAAAAAGTCCTTCGTTTTTGGAACACCCCGACCAAGGGGTGGGCGAAGGTCGCTTGTTTTCGGAATACCCCGACCAAGGGGTGGGTGAAGGTCGCTTGTTTTCGCAGTCGACAATGTCCACGGAGTTCGCACACCTGAGTTCACATGGTCGTATCGGGTTTGTAACTTGTCAGAGGTCCGCAACATATTCACATTTATGTTAGGGTGACAAGGCGGTCTCCACTCATGTGGATAGGACGTGAAGACATCTTGGCATATTACGCTGATTATGTTTTAGTTGATCTTACGTTAATAGAAGGCGAGCACATTAGGAGTACGTGGTCCAAGTTCACTTAAATATATCCTAGTCGCTCAAATTACAAGGAAAAGAAGGGGCAAGCATCTCAGAGTCTTTTCGACCTATGGTAGCACAAAGTAATGCATAAGGAGAGTTGCAAAATGAAGCATCACACCACAAAGAAAAGAAAATTGCGTTCTCATTCCATGAAACCAAAAGTACAAGACTACAAAATGCACAGAAATAACACATAACAATACATCATCAACACCTAACTACTTCGAGGGGGCGGTGGTAGATGAAACAGCACCAGTCGATTTCACGGCAGCGGTCGACGAAGACATAGCAGCAGACGTTGACTGTGCTGCAGAAGCCAACTGAGCAGCCATGGTCGAGGGTACGGCGGAAGCAATTGATTGAGTGCTTGCAGCCGACGAGGCAAAAGCAACAAACCCCAGCTGAGCCGCTGTGGTCGACTGGGCAGCCATAAGTGGAGCAGAAGCAGCAGCAGCAGTGGTCGATTGCGTGGCCGCGCTCGAGGAGATGGAGGCAGTGGCTGATTGGGCGAGAGCTGAAGTAGATGGACCAGAGGAGAAGGGAGGAGCATTAGTGGTCAGGGGCTGGGGAGGTATAACCACAGAGAGGCGAACCACGGGCGTCTTGTCAGGCTTAGGCACATCAAAGGAACTCTTTAAAAAGGATCCCATGCCAAAGTCCGTTCCAAGGACTCTGTCCACCATGGATGCTCAGGGGGTAAGCTGTGATCGCCGATGAAGTTAGAGGGCGCAGAAGGAATCGCCTCCCAAGTTTTGTCTTGGTCGAGTTCGCCCGTGAACCCCATCTCCTTCAGTTGGCGCTCGACCTCTTCCATGCTATATGTATAGAAATCCATACCCATCCCAGCCGCTTCCTTGAGGAAGGCAGTCGAGCAGAGATAATCTCGGATCAGCTGCTCTCGATAAGCCTTAAGGAAGACCTGACCAAGTTGGGTCCTCCACAAGGCCCAGCGGGATTGTTCCATATCAACGACAGTCTCCGCCTCGACCTCTTTCTTTTGGCCAGCCCTCTCCACTTCGAGTGCTTTATCCTTGCCCTTCATTGCGTCTTTGTATCGCTGCTCATCTTTCTTCAGCTGCTCAGCCAACGCATGGCGTGTCTTGCGCAGGTTCTCATTCTCCGCCTTTAGCCTCATATTCTCCTCCTCGAGGCGCCGGTTGTCGCCCTCGAGCACAGGTGATATAGCCAC